CCTGGCGCTTGGTAAATAAAATGCTAAGGAAAATTTCCTTCTGAACAAGATGTGTCACAATGAAAGTCTGGTGCCATGAAATGAAGATTACTTTCTGGTGATATGGAATGAATAATATTTCCAGTTAAATAAAAATGGATTATGGTTATAATCCACTAATTAGAAACAATAACATAATTTAAAAGATTTGGTAAATTTTATATAAGAGTTGTAGTGAGACCAATTTACTCTGATAAATAAATGTCATAGTAAATAGGAGTTACAAGCTGTGTTACATAATGTGGGATATTAATTGACTATGATTAAGACCAGGAAAAAGTAGACAGAATATTCTAAATAAATGGTTTGATGAAGATGCTGAATATTGTAAAATCAATTAGAATGGTATGTTTCATCCTGTGAAATAATATACATTATATAAATGCCATAGTTTATTAAATTTAAGAGGTTGCTTTAGTCCTCCACTATGTCTGAAGATATTAACTGAATTAAGTAAACCATAAAAGAGATGTGTACCCTAAAGTGCTCCGTGGACTAATTTGGCTTATAACCTACCTCAAAGAAAATGTGGGCTTATTCAAAGTTTTTCTGGTCTCACTCTAGTTCATTCTGATTTGTTGTCATTCCAACTCTTGAAACCTAATCTTGTAGGAAAAAAGCCAAATCACAATTTAGTTTCACATAAAAACAATTACAGACATTTTCATTGTGCTATTGAGATCATTAAGTGAGATAATGCTGCCCATGGTGTCTGACACATCTTATTCATAATGTGGAGGCTAATATAATCTATTATTTGGCTGCCTGGACATTTCCTTGGTATTTGTCACCAATTTTGCCAATGTGCAATCAGAAAAACTAGATTAAATATTTTAAACATATTTGAATGAAAATTTTCCCAATGAGGGAGAGGGTAAGAGGCAAAACTTTGCAGACATCTTGTAAAGGTAGAGTTACAGAAGGTAAGATTGATATTTATGCTTTCAGTATTAGTTTTATCTATGGAAGGTATTTCTATTTTCATTTAGTTATAATTGCATGTTACACAATGTTAAAGAAGAATATAGAATTCTTGTCACTCTCATACCAGTTTTTTCTTACGTGTGCCTGAGGAAGGCAAGTTTTATTAGACAACTTATGTTATAATCTATAAGCAATCATTTTCCCTACTTCAGTGTACTGTTGGTGACAAAATTTCTCCTAGATATATTTTTCTCATTAGTATTTTATCTCTCATCTATGATCGAAACAACTAATTACATATGAATCGTCTATCTTTTTTACCTACTAGTGGCAGAAACTTGGGCAAATCATTTCAAATTAGGGCCTCAGGTTAGGAAATACATACAAGATCCATGGATGTTTTTTAAACTATTAGTCATGACCTCATTATCATGTCACACCAGTAGTTTCAGAAAATACACTGTAACTGACACATTTTGAATAGAAAATGCAAAAGACAAGGCACATGACAAAACTAGTTTGTAAATTATGTTTCAGTTTTAAATATGTGTACACATACTGTGTGACAATATTAAAAATATTCCTTAGTATGAGTAGTAGGCAAGAGAAGTTTGAAAAATATTGTTCTCAAGAATCATCAGCCCATTCTAACTAAAAAATGAGATTACTCTATTTTCCAACTTAGAAATTCTGAAAATGATGACTTTTAACCCAGTGTCATATAGCTTATTGCTTGACAGACAATAGTAGCTAGCTATGGAATATTTACTTGAAGTGATTAGAAAATATTTATTTCCTCAATTAGTTATAGTCTTTAAAATCCATTGCAAGGCTTTAAAAAATACATACTTGGGACTTCCTAGAGGCTTTAGTCCCCTCAAACAAACCAACAAAATGTTAAGCATCAATAATTTCATGAAAATATTAAGTGGCTCTTGTATGCAATGTATTGTAGTAACGGCTGATATAAAAATGAATTGGTGGACTCTGGGCACCCGGGGGAGGAGCTGGCACAGAGTAGTCCCACCCGGGGCACCCTGGCAGGGCCTACCCGAAAAAAAAAATAAAAAAAAAAGAATTGGCATGGTCCCTGAATTCACTGAATTTATAAGTTTTAGGAAAGTATTAGCTATAAAAAGAAAACATCCTATGCTTAACTAAACAAGAGTTCATATGTATACTATTAAGAAATGTTATCCTTAATAAATATTAATACAAGCTGTCATTTTTAATCTAATTCATTCATTCAACAAACATTTTTACTGTTTCAGGTATTTTCCTAGGATGGATATTCCAAGGTTAAAATAATAAAGTTGGTACTCCAAAGCAGCTTAAAGTGGTGTAAAATACGGAAAGTAAGCAAGTAAACATACAAGAAATCAAATAGTGATAAATGTCATGAAGATGAATAGGCATTATATAAGAGCTACTTTTTATTGGATGGTCAAAAGAGGGCTATGAGTGGATACATTTAAAACTGAGATATGAATGGTGAAAGGAAGATGGTCACTAAAAGATGTGGAGAAGAGCATTCTAGGAAAAGGAAACAGGTGGGCAAATGCCAGATACAAGACAGATAGGGGCTTGGCCTGTTTGAGGACTAGTAAGTAGATGAGAATGGCTGGGGGCTAGAAAGGAGAGAGAGAATAGTAGGAGATGAGGTAAGAGGTAGATGAATGTCACCTGGCTGAGTAAAACCTTTTAAACCATGGTAAAGTGTTTGAAGTATATTTTTATTGCCATGGGGAGCCATTTGAGGCCTATCAGCAAGGGACTTCTGTAGTCTGATTTTTCTTTTAAGACCAGTAGCGTTGTTGTATAAAAAAACTGATTTTACATAGCAAGAATGAAACCAAGGTGGTTAGGAGACTATCACAATCATTCAGAAGAGACAAGTTGTGGCTTAGATTAAGGTAACAGCAATAGAGATGAAAAGCAGATGAAGTGCAATGTAGAATTTGCTGATAGACTGGATATGGGGGGGTGTCAAAAAAAGGAATCAAAGGTACTTCCTATAATTTTAACTTGTGCAAGTAGGTAAATGGTTTCCTTACCTATCATGGGGAAAAGCAAGGTGGGAATGCAGAAGGTGACAGCAGGAATCCAGAGTTCTGTGCGGGCTATGTTAACTTTGAGATGCGTATCAACTAGCCATCTAAGCGAGTATGTCAAGCAAGCAGACTGGGTTTTGAGAAGATTGATCAATTTGGGACTGATTAGCACATAAACAGTGTTTCTAGATACTGGAGGGTACCTCCATGAGAGTGCCACGCAGGGGTTTTAGCTGCAGTATCTGCTTTCATGTTGATGAACAACTCAAGGTAGCTATTTTCTTTTTCAACAGATATTATTAGCTTTTCACATATAAGCCTCTTTGATGCTGAGAGAGACATACAAGCTGAAAGTCACCCAGCTACTAAAAGGTAGAACCTGGAATCAGATCTGGGAGTTCTCTTTCTTCCCATTGCACCATGTTGCTTTATTGGAGAATTAGAATACGTGAATTTCTGGGTGGAGCATTTTTTAACTTCCTAAATGAAAGATTTTTTAAGTCTGTTTAGAAAGAATGCCAGCTCACTCAGAATTCAATCCAAGTATAAAACTTCACTAGTCTTTTCTGTCATTACGTGACTTCTCTGGAATAGATGGCCTGACGGTTATTGCTTTTCTTTTTTTAAACAAACAAAAAAACCCTCTGTGGTTGACAGGAGCTGAGAGGAGAGGAATGAAGAGATGTTGGTCAAAGGGTACAAACTTTTGGTTGTAAGGTGAATATGTTCTGGAGATCAAATGTACATTATAGTGACTATAATTAATAATTTTGTATTGTATACTTTGAAGTTTGCTGAGAGATTAAGTATTCTCAACACACACACACGGGAAACAGGTACGGTGATGGATGTGTTGATTAGCTTGGTTGTGGTAATCATTTCACAATATATATTTACATCTAATCATTACTTCCTATACCTTAAATATACACAATTTCTGTCCATTATACCTCAATAAAGCTGGGAATAAAACCCCTCCACTGTTTTGACTTGTGGGATAGGATTATTTCTACTTCTCAACCTTTACTGCCCCTTCTTCACTGACCCATAACTATGGCTGCATTGCAGTGATTTTTAGTCTTTCCTCAGCTTACATATTCCTCCTCTACAATCTCAGGTTCTCATTGCTCCAAATACTAAATATATGCTTATCATCTTCAAATATTTTGCTTACTGTCCAGACATTTCTCCTTAGCTCTAGGAGACGACGTCCAAAGGTCCCTAAAAGCAATTAGTCTGGTGGGAAAGGAGGCTCCCCCATCCACCCACCAGGAGAAAAGAGGAGCGAAGTTCAGGAACTGTAAAGGTCTTATTCGTACATTCATTTCTTGTAAGTACTTACATACTCGCTACAGTTTCAAACCTAGTGTGGCATGCAGACATGGATGAAGCAATGACAGGCACGACAAGCGTAAACGAAGGGTACAGGCTAGCCCAAGGGTATTCAAGGGAACTTCAAAGCGCAAAGAATCCCACTTAGTCCCTCGAAGAGATTTAATAAAAACTTTAGAGTATCCGTTTAGTCGATTAAAAAGTGAACGGAAAGCAAATCCCATTAAAGAAGGAGGAAAGTTGGCGATTAGTAAAGGATTCGTGCAAAAGACTGCACCACGGCCAGCCCTGAAGAGAATAAATTGTTGATTGGGGAGTGTGAAGAGAATGAACACGCCTAGGCAGAAAAAAATGAAAAGCTAGGATTGGCGGACACTAAAAACCCAGCATTTGTTAAAAAAAAAATCCACGGCAAAACAAATACAAAAACACACACCTCACCCAGAGCCAGCACCTCCGCCCCGCCAGCACCCAAAGAAGCCTCAGATTCCGGGACCGCGGCGCACCACCCAGCTCGCTCCGCCCCCTTCCCCGAAAGCCCCTCCGCAGAGCTGCGTGCACGTGCGTAGCGAATACCGCCCCTCTGCTCTCTTGGCCAATGAGAAACAGTTACGTAAATCGCCCCTGCCCGGTCGCGAGTCACGTGACTGCGGCTCCCCGCCCTCTCACCCCGCTGCCTCTAGGTTCTTGGGAAGATGGCGAAGGTCTCAGAGCTTTACGATGTCACTTGGGAAGGTAACTTCGGATGGGGGCGGGTGCGGAAGTTACCAGCGCTTTTAAGTGCTAGGAAGCCGTTTGGGACTACCCGCTGCCTTCGGGGAGCTGGGGTTTCTGGTCTTTTTTTGATACCACATCTCTCACTGGACGGGCCAAGCTGAGGTGGAGGCTGAGGCTGACCCCTTCCTTGGCCTGAGCGCGTACTCTATGGCGTTTCCCACAGTGTCGTCTCATCGGTTCACCTGCCCTCCTCTGCGCCAGTCCAGCGGCCAGGGCCGCTTCCATTTATGAGGCGGAAGGGACTTGGGGCTAGGGTTGTCACACACTAACTGTGGTTGCTGGGCGGTGCGGAGGGAGCGGAATAGGGGGTTACTGAAGCTTCTTTGGCGTCAAGAAACACAGGGTCTGTAAGGCCTTTTACTAAGTGCTATGTAAGGATTACAGCTCTGTGCAGAAAAGCTGTTGTAGAAGATGCTTTAACAACTGTGATTCTCATATGCCACTCTACATTTAGTTTTCTCCTTAAACCCGGTTTTCCAGTTTCTTTTCCTTTCAGGCTAGTCTCTGTCCCACTCCTTTTCAAAACACATTTGCACACACAGCACAACTTCCTTCGTACTCCCTACTAGCAATTTTTTTTTTTTCTGAAGGGAAAAATAATTTATTAATTCTGGGCCATGTACGTGCTCATGTGTGATGGACATTTTTACCTATTAGTCGATCTAGAGTGGGATATGTTCTTTAAATCTGGAAACAGCCAAACCTTGGATCAATTCTGTGTGCTTAAGAAAGTTGAGTTTCGTTAAGGCATGGAATCTGTGTGATTGGAATTCATATTCCCAGCATTTAGCATAATACAGGAGACTTCCATAGCTAATTTGTTCAGCAAATGCTTTTGTGGGATGCTTTAATAATGACCTGAAAATATGTGTACTGAAAGTTATTTTTTCGGTTTTATCGTGAATAAATTTATCAGGTATTATAAAGTTGTAAACTCTTAAGAAATAAAGCAAAATTCCTTTGTACTTGAACTGGGTTAAATTATTTATTGGCTTTGTGGCCTCTAGCATATTATGAACCTCAGTATTTCTACCTGAATTGAGGGATTCCATTGTATTAAACAACAGTGTTAATTTCTTAGTGCAAAATCTTGGATCTATCAACACACAGTCCCTACTTTCATGGAATTCACAATCTATGGAGAAAAGCTATAAACACATAGTTTTAAAAGACTTGTGTCAGCGTATATTCCGTAAGCTGGATGATGGATAAATGGCTATTTTCAGCGTATATTCCGTAAGCTGGATGATGGATAAATGGCTGTTACTTTTAATGCTTTTAAAAAATGTTTTAAGTACATAATTTTTAGAAAGTACAATCATGAAGGTATGTTTAGTATAGCTTTCCTAGATGTTAGTAGCATATATAAAATCTTGAGGGACTAGTAGTTATGTACTACCAACAGACAAGGTGATTTAACTGAGTAACTTGGACCTTAAACTTACCCTGTGAGAATTCTAAAGAGGATTGATGTAATTATTTTGGAATAATAAATAATAGCTACCACACAAGTTTGTAGGAACGGAAGAGAAAACATTTTAAAGTGCTTTGTAAACTGTTAAAGTACTATGTAAAAGGATGTGTTATTATTAGCTAGTACTGATTTGATTATGTCCCTCCTCTCTATGATCTGGACATTACCCATGTCTCCAGCTTTATCTTGAGCCATTGTCCCTCTCACTCTGTGAGCTGCCTATGCTGGCCTTTGATGAATACCCTAAATTGCCATGCTGCTTCTGAAAGCTGGCACATGCTAGTCCTTCCACTGGGAATGTTCTTCCCTCCTTGCCTCATTCTTGTCCCCATTAAAGTTTATCATTTATCAGTTCCCCACAAAGCTCACCTACTACAAAAAAAAGCCTACTAGACTCATCTACTGCCCCCTTCCCTTTACCCATCCCCCAACAAAATTGGAAAAAGAAAAAACCCAAACAACAAAATCAAACAACAAAACCTACCTGTGACCCTTCGATTATGTATTCTATTCTCATACTATTAAAGCATTGAACCAATTGTGTTATGTTTTAAAATTTGGTCTTTCCTAGGATGAGAGGGACCAGGCCTGTTTGTTCACTGTCACTTTCCTAGAGCCTGATGCATGGGGGTGGAGCTTAGTAATTATTTGTTGACTAAATGAATTGTTAATGGGATTAATAATAAACACACATTGTCAAAAAAGATTACAAACCATTTTTCTAGCATTGAAATAATTTCTTTAGTATCTTAAAGATACTACAGTTAGGCAACTTGCTTAACTAATAGGATACAGTTTGCTCACTAGTAAAATAAAGGTTTAGACCTTTCCAGAATTAAAATTCTATTTTAAGTGACTTTTAAGAAAAGAGTATTCTAGAGTTTTATTTCAGAGAGTTATGGTAACAAAATTTTAGGATGTAGGAGGGTGATGGGAAGATTCTTAAGATAGTGTTTTGTTTAGATTTTTTCCGGGGGGGGGGGTGTGTCAGAGGTGTGTCCTTAGGAATTCCACTGAACAGTGTCATGAATTGGTTAGTTCAGAATACTGTAATTCTTGTGATAGGAAAATTTCTCACTTGTTTATAAAAGACCTATGCAGTAAGTTTAACACTTCCACATCTTTGTTAGACTACTAATAGAGTAGATTATTTGGTTTGTTTCTTTAGCCAATTGAAAGTGATTGATGCTTATTACATAGGGAAGTTATTAGACATTTGGAGGTGGAAAGGATAATTTAGAGAGTATAGTCAAGTTTCTTGAGCTATTTGGGCAGGACATGGATAGGATGCCTAGCACAATGCCAGGCATATAATCGGCATTAAATGAGTATTTGTTGAAAAAATAATGTGTGAGAAATGTTTGAGAACATTTTAGTTGTTTATGTTCACTGCCCTACTCCCTCTCTTTTCATTCAGTCCTTCAAACAACCTCAATTTGGTTTCTATGGCCTACCACTCCGCTAAGATCTCTAGGAGACCTAATGCCAACTCTAACATACGTGTTTTGTGTACTTCTACTACTTTTGCTATTGTAGATCACTCCCTCTGTGAAAATCTTTCTTTGCTTTCTTGATAACATTCTTCTTGTTTTCTTCTTTCTTTTCGGACCTTTCCTCTGTTGAGTTCTCTACATCCATTTGCTCATTTTTTGGTGTTTTCACTGTTTCTTAGTTGTCCTCTTAAGATGTTATTGTTGGTTTTTAAGTTTGAGATCAATAGATTTTAAATTGATGCAAGCATTAAATACCATGTGGTCTGATGAAATTGTGCAAAATTTAGTACTTGTGTAAACATGCATATTTCTGGGAAAAGATGGTACAAAGTACTCATTAGTTTTGAAGATACCTAAAATAGATTAAATGACATCAGTGAGCAATCTTATCCACATCCAGCTTTACCTATCCGTTAGCCTGTATACTAAATAACACCTTAATTAAACATATATTTGAGTACTGTGCACCAGGCACTGTTCTAGTTCTTGAGGATATAGTGCCAAGTAAGGCAGGCAAGGTCCAGATTTCAAGGAACACATCCTGAAATTTCACTTCTAAACTGAAGATCCATATTTCCAGTGTTCTACAAGGCACATGTAATGGTTATTTCACAATTAATAAAACTCAAAACTGCCTTCTGCCTTATGTCTCCAGCACCACTGCTGTCACGACTTACTCTTTTCTGCATTTTCCTTCTGCCTTCATCTTCCTTCTGCCTCCAACACCGCCACTGTCACCACTTATTCTTTTCTGCATTTTCCGTGGAAAAGTAGATAGCACCATATATCTCCCCTCATTCATAAAACAACTTCTGGTCACCTTTTAAGATACAGATCTATGAGACTTCAAAGTCTGGAAAGTACAGATATGTATGAGAATAAAGTATATGCTTTGCAAAAGTCTCTTATGAAAGGTAAAAGCTAGAAAGATAGGTTGGAGCCTTAAAATGCTAGACTAAGGAGTTCAGACTTCTTTTTTGTATGTAGATGGGAGCCTAGTTCCTGACTTAGAACTAACATCAATGGCACCTTTCATTAAACTTTTGCAGGTTGATATAGAACAGGGCTTTTCTTCGGTAGAGGTCCCCTGATTGAAATTCCTTTTCATGTTTAATAAACCATTTTTGTTTTGCTTTCTTTAACATGGAGCAGGAACATAAAGTCCCTAATATAGAAGCTTCAGTGCACAAGTCTTTTATATTTCCATTATTTTTCTCATAATATTTAAATTAAATCCCCATATTTAATGTGATAGTTTTTCAGAGCTATTTGTTTTTATAGAGTCTTTTCACAGCATCTAACTTTGTTTCTTAGAAACCAGTCTCTTTTTGCACTCAAGTTTTCTTTGCCTTATAATATTTCATTATACTACGTTAAATTTAACTGGCATGAACTGGTTTGGATACAAGTAGCTAAATTTTTAAAATGTAATAACTGTTTGGGACAACCAAGAGCTAGCCAAGAGCTTCTAAAATCTTGGTGGGCATCATTATGTTTTACAGAAGCATTTCTTTGAGTTGATTCTAACTGGAGGATGATTAAGAGAATTTTTACTGAACCTCATTAATCTCTCCATCATATTTTAATTACTTGTTTGCATTCTTTACACCTGGAGATCTTCTCAGTCCTTCTGTTGACCAGCCATAGTGGTAAGAGTCAGAAAACAAGCTCTCAGTAAATGCTTGTTTTTTCCATGAGTGAATGCTAGAACACAAAGCTTGAACTCACAAAGTTTTTGAACTTGGATCCACTAGTGTATGCAGTAATGGTAATAATAATGATGAAAATAATCTGAAACATTTTGTATATGTTATCTCTTTTAATCCTCACGTGTGTCTTATGAGATAGGCTTCATTTCTGTTTTATAGATGAGGAAACAAATGAGAGATGAAATGGCTTGTCAGATATCCCACAGCTAGTATGATTTGGGGAGTGCTGTGATTTGAGCTGCTTTTATACAGCTCTCCTCCACTGAGTTATTAACTATGTTC